CCAGATCCTCTATACAAAAATAAATAGAATCTTTTTAAAAAATCAAACAAGCTGAATCAATACTGAAATGCAAATTCCAAAGCGATGTGTTGGGAGCCAGAACGCCAGCCAGGCCATGGCCCCGGGCAGCGGCCCCACCACGCTGCCCAGCCTGGCACCAACCAGCCGGGCGCCGACATGGGCTGTGCTGGACACAGGACGGGTCTTCAGGAAAAGAGGGGCCCTGCCAGTTTAACTCAGCACAGACAAGGAGGCTGCTGCTCTCACATCTGCAAAATCTCGCTAAATATCGACTAAATATCCCTGTCTGAAAGTCAGACCTACCCGTGGGTTTCAATAGTCATGACTCTCTGCTCAATTTCCAGACGTGGAAATGGAAGTGACAGAGCCGGAGGCTCTGCAGACAGCCCGGAGCAGCTCCCCAGGAACGTGGCCTCTGCACCCACAGTCCCGCGCGGCTCCCTGCCGGAGCCAGGATTTCAAAGTCAGGAGCATGAGACTCCAGAGCCCAAGCTCAGGGTCTTGGCCAGGTCACCCAGGGCCGGGGGCCCCAGGGGCAAAGGCGACCCCACAGGCAGGCGTGACGACAGGCTGGAAAGGAGCGAGAAGCTCGGCCGCCCGCAACTCGGATGCACAGAGGAGCCGCGGGACCCTCCCGCTAGGGGCTGGGCTGCAGGTGGCACGTGGCCAGCAGCGGGCACGGGTGGACCGCAGCCAGAACCAATTGGCCACTTTCACAGAGTCATTTATTTTATTAAAAAAAATTAATGAGGGAAATTTCAATATCAGCGAAGTCGCAAGAACCTTCCGAGCTCTGCCTGCTCCCTCAGGATGGCGTTTTAATTATTTCCTCATCTGAGCTGTAGTCGGTGTGTCTGATCCATGCCTGGCCCACACTCTCTGGAGAGCAAAAATGCATTTTACCCAATGTCAAGTTGAAATAAAAGCCCGTCAGAAGCCAAATAACTCTGGGTTCCCAGGACGCCGAAGAGAAATTTGGTTCCCTTTGGTGGATGGCTGGCATTATAGTGACCTTTGTGCCAAGCAAACACTTGGCAGCTGCAATCTCAGAATAATGCTCTTTGCACCATTAACCAGGACACAGAGGCTCCAGGGCGTTGCGTGTAAGTGACACACGCAGACAGCCGCAGGTGCCTGTGTCTCACCCACGTGCCCGACTTGGGGTAACGGCCTGTGTGTCGGGGTGCCCTGCAAGGCCCCCCGCCTCCCAGGAATGCAGAGACCTCTGGAAAGACCCCCAGGGGCCCGGTCTCTCAGGCTCGCGCCCCATCTCTGCATCCACTCCTGTCTCTGCTTTTTCCTGTGTGCGCTGGGGTGGGTGACACAACTGAACAGATCTGCACACACCTCCCACAGACACACGCAAGTAAGGGCACATAACCTGTGAGGACAGCACCTCCCTGCGTGCACTTCCTGTCTGCGACACTGTGCTCTAACCACACGGCGTCACCACGGGGTGGGGGGTGGGGGGGCGTCACCACGGGGGGGGGGGGGGGAGGGTGGGGCTGGGGGCCAGGGAGCCGAGTGGCGCGCAAGAGGGACATTTCTGCACATCGCAACGACTTGTGATTCTAGAATATTTCAATGAAATCAACACCCTCAAATAATGCTTGAGATACCCTAAAAAACTGACCACGAATCTCCTTACAGAAAAGACAAGACACTACAGACCCACTTGGTACCTGTGGGGGGTTCAAGCGTGTCCTCCCCAAAGCCCTCACCCCAGCACGTTATCAGGTGACTGGCACTGGAAACAGGACCTTAAGGGGGGACTTCCGGCTAAACCGGGCCATAAGGGTGGGCCCTAATCCGATCGGATGGGTGTTCTTTCACGCAGCGGGCCCTGGGGTGCCCGCACCAGGAAGCGTGGGCACAGAGCAAAGGCCAGGTGAGGGCGCAGGAGGGGTGCCGTCTGCAAGCCAGGAGTGACCAACCTACCACACCTTGACCATGGACTCCCGGCCTCCAGAACTGCGGGCAAACACTGTCGTTTATGCCCCAGGTGCGCGTGACCCGGGCAGGTAACCCAGGACCTGCCTCCATCCATCAGGTTTTGGCCCCCGCACACAGCAGCTGCTCGGGGCCCAGAAGTCCCAGCTTTCACCTGTGTCCCCCCACTCAAGCACTGTGAATGAGGGCCACACCCTCCTTCCAGAAGCCTCCTACCCCCCAACTCTGCTCAGGCTTTGACACCCACTTTGCATTCCAAACAGTCCTCTCCTGGAGAGCTGAGGCACCTGCTCCTTGCATTTGTTTCCTGGGGCTCTGGGCTGTCCTGCTGAGTGCCCTGACTTGCACCTGGCCCCCTCCCCCACCAGCCCTCTATGCCCGCCCCCCAGTAGATGCAATAGAGGCCCCAGGGACCACCCCCCACCCCCCATTCAGCTAGGCTGCCTTAAACAAGCTACCAACACCACAGCCCCAGCTCGCCTGTCTGCAGCTGTGATGAGGGCAGAAACACATCCAGCAATAGGGGGCGGGAGACATGACCGCACGTAGCCACCGGAAAGATGATGCATGTGGAGCCAATTCACAGAGTGTTTAGGGACTGGGCGAGCACACGGAGCACCGGACACGGGAGCCCTGAAACCTCTCTGCACAGACACCGTGCGGGGAGGGCGACCGTCCCATGCCTCCCCCAGACGGCCACTAACCCGCCCTAGACAAGAGCGAAGTTACTTAAGTCTTTTTACCATTTTCATCTAGCTTTTTCCTCCTGAAACAACAAAAATGGAAAGGTAGCAGCTGACCCACGGGCCACACGCCGAAAGGCCGCAGCGAGTACGTGACATCAGCCTGCTCGACCCCAAGACACTGCCACGTCTCAGACCTGGGTGGGGGGCAAGCTGGGGACGGGCCCGCTGAGCCAACAGGGTCAAAGAAGAGTCTCAACGAGGGAGCAGGCCTCCCCCCAAGGGCGCGTCTCACCGCCGTCCGTGACCACACTGGCTGCCGGCAGGGGCCCGCCGGGTCGGCCTGCAGGGGAGAGCCACGCGCCGGCCTGGTGACCTCCCGCTGCGAGGCTTGCCCCACATGGTGCGCCGGGACAGGCCTGCCAGCAGGATCCACTCAGCGGCTTTGTCCGCTGGTAATGAGCGCCCTTGGCTCCCTCCCACGCTGGGAAGCAGCCGCCACCGGAAGGTGCCAGCCTGAGAAGCCCCTTGTGACTGCCCGTCCAGGAATCCAGGAGTCTGGCGACGGCTCAGTCCCAGGAGGCCAAAGCTCTGGTGGCCGGCCCAGGGGAGCCATCCGCTCGACCCCAGAGGGCGGCGCCACTGTCCAGCACCCCCACACCAGGGGCCCCCACGAGCAACCCAGGGCAGGTCTGGTCCCACCGCCTGAGGCTGGAGCATGGCATGGGAACTCTGGGCCATCCTGGGACACCCCAGAGGGGACAGCTGTGGCCAAGCCTGGGTGCCTCATGCAGTCCTGACACTCCTTCACTCACAGTCCATGCTCAGGCTGGAGCTACCGGCGGAGCCGGCCTGGGGCGCTCTCACCACGATCCCAGAGCTGGAACTGGACGCACAGACAAGTCCATGCCAGGGGGTGACCCTCTGCCCAGCTCCAACACTGGCCACTTCTCATCCACCTCCTCTCTGCAGAGGGTTACGAGGCCAGAATTTTTTACAACCCTTTCCTTCCCTATGCTCTGGTTTATCTACCTGCTTTCAATGCAAAACACCTCTCCCAGGACCTGAGGGTGACATCCTAGCTGGAGACCAACTGTGTGGCTGGACTGCAGGAGATGCTTCTGGTCACCTGCTGTGGCCGGCCTGGACACCAGCCACACAAAGAGCCAGCACTTGACCTTTACACACGTCACAAAACGAAAATGACTTCCTTGGTGCCCTGCCCCCACTGTGCTCGCCTCCGGACACAATCATGGCTGTCCCCAGCCCTACGGGGCCAGGGGTGGCCGTCCTGGACCCGAGTGTCCTTTCTCTTTCGTGAGAGTGGTCGGGCTCCCGGGCGCCGGGCTGCTCCCTGCCCTGAGCCTGTTCTCAGAGCACTAAAATGCGTCTGCCAGGTACCTGCCCAACCAAGCCGCCGACTTCCCGGCCAGGTCCCTGGACAGGCAGTCAGGCTGCAGGTAAATGGCCGTGCCAGGCCCTCCAGTCTCGGAAAGCCTGGGCAGCCTCCGGCGGAAACCCTGGTGAGCTGAAGCGGCATGTCAGATCCAGGCGAACACTCCGTTACCCTGAACTCCACACGGCCCTTCACGTTACACTCAGGGCACATTGCTCTCCCAAGGCACAAAGCTTTGCAGGTAGGTGCCTTTTTCCTAAGGCCTAGACCACAGTGACTGGCCAGTCTTGACAACCCGAAAGCTGGTGGGAGGCAAAAGGACACTTGTACACAGGGATGGGGGCCTGTGGGCGGCCCTGCTGTCCGGGGCAGCGAGCCGTGCCCACAGCAGGGGTGTGGACCTCTCCCCACACCTTGTTTCTTGACTCTGCACCCGCGAGCGGCTTCCCCTCTTCCGACAGAAAACGCGAGCAGCTTTAGAGCACAAACCATTTTTTAAAGACTTGTGCACGCCTATGTCTAACCAGTCCAGTGCATACCTCCAATTCAGAAAAAAGAAAACCGATCCAAAGTCACCAACTCTGCTTGAAAGCCAACGGCAGCAAAGCAAGCGAGGCAGCCGGCCACCTGTACCCTTAGAAACTCTGTTTGTTAAATGAGCCCCATGGCCGCTGTTCCCTGGGCCTGAGTGCTCATGCAAGTGAAGAGCCCCCAGTGTCCTGGCCCCTCTGGGCACTGTCCCTTGAGGCCAGAACACCCCAGGGCCTCTTTCCTCCGCCTTCCTTTGTGTGCATGCCCCAGGGACCCACACGGCCCAGGCACCCCGCAAGCCGCGCCGCGCCGCCCCCAGCTCCTACCTATGTAGAGCGAGGAGTCCTTCCTCCGCACGTGGTCGTCGATGTAGGAGACGCCCAGGGGCTGCACGGGGGTAGCACCGATGCCCAGGAGCACCTGGGCCCCAATGAGCAGCAAGTACATCATGTTGGTGGCGGTGCGGCTGCGGCAGATGAGGTCGGGGTCGGGGCCCTGGTGGCTGCCCGAGCCGTTGGCCGCACAGACGTCTCGGCCCTCGGCGCCCCAGCGGATCTCGCCGGCCTCGTACTTGTACTGGTGCGTCAGGAACTCGGGCAGCGCCGACAGCAGCGCGCCCAGCGCCATCACGATGCCGCCGCAGCCGATGAGGCGCGGCCGGTGCCCCCGCGCCCCGAAGTAGCTCACGAAGAGGATGAGCGCCAGGTTCCCGATCTCGAAGCTGCTGGCGATGACGCCCACGTCGGCACTCTGCAGGTTGAACCTGCGCTCCAGCGTGGTCAGCACGCTCACCTGCGGGAGCAAAAGCACAGCTCAGTGCCGGTGCGGGGGGCACCGCCCCCACGCCCCACCCCGACGCCCCTGCAGCGCCGGGCCCACCCACCTGCAGGAGCCCGCCAGACCCAAAAGGCACCAGGCAAAGACTCCCCGAGATGGTCATTTCGCCTGGACTAACTGAACCGCGAAAGCATGAGCTGTGCCCGGGGGCAGAGAGGATTTCCCTGGCACCGGGGTCCACCCTGGGAAAGCTGGGCCCCCTGCTCAGGGAGCACCGAGTCCCTCAGCCGAGGCCACCACCTTGCAGGTCTCAGGGCGTCTGGGGAAGTCGTGAGGCTGGCCACATGCTCCCAGCTGTACCCCGCGTGGGACATCCACACTAGCTGGGTGGACACGGGGCCAGGGCTTGCTTTTAGCCAGGAGGTTACTTACAAAGCCGGCCTCAGTTAGCAAAGCGAAGCAGGCCTAAAGAGAACCAGCTAGCGTGGCACGTGGACAAAGCTAGAGGAGCTCATCCGCCAATTCTCAGCTTCCTTCTGGAATTTTCCAAGCCATGCAGGTTTCCCTGGAAATGCATGAATGTGGCCCAAGCTGCTGCGTGCCTGCCAGGTCCCCTTGAATGGAGCCTTTTTACGACTTCCCCACCTTTGTGTTCTTGTCTGCCTACATTTGTCTGACAAATATTCACTGAACATCTGCTGTCGGCCTGGCCGTGCCCTAGACACGGGATGGAGAAAGGAGGGGGCTGCAAAACCACACAGCAACTGAGGGTGCCTGATGGGGCGACGCCCCCCCGCCGGGCCTGGGGGGCTGCATCACAGCGGCAGGTGGAGAGAGCACGCCGGGAGCTCCGAGGCTCTCCGTCTGCAGCAAACACGCGGGTGCTGGGAGCGAGGCCAGGCCTGGTGGACGGGACAGCCCAGCGGGCAGGAAGGACGCCAGAGGGGGGTGAGCTCGTGTGGGGAGGCTGCTGCTATGTGGCCAGGGGCGACGCGCAGAGCCCGAGGCGCCCGGGGCTGCCTGCCGCAAAACCTGCAAAGCAAGGGCGCCTCACTGAGAGGAGGGGAGGGAGGGAGCCTGGCCCAGCCCCAGCTATCAGCAACGTCCCCCACTTTAGCTCTTTGACTTCTATGAGGCCATTCGCCCTCCCAAGGTCCCAAGACTTGAATTCTGTGAAACAGGCCACTGTCTACCTGGAGGATGGAAGGGCGTGAAGACTGGGCAGAGGGCCAGGAAGAGGCAGCGCGGGGGCAGGTCCAGCCCAGCGCCTGGCGACCGGACAACTGCCCTGCGCTTCCGCCCTCCCAGCCGTCCGTCGAGCGGGGCGCCTGCTCCTGCGGAGGGGGCCAGGGCAAACAGCACCCGTCCGCGCTGGGACGCTGGGACGGGCTCTCTGGGACGCCGGTGTCTCCAGTGTCCAGGACCTCAGCGCGTCCTGGCCAGTTAAAGCGGCTTCCAAATGCCCCCAAAGAAGTCAGAAAGGTCTGGGCGGATGCAGACAAAGCTTTCTTGTACTCGCTCCTTTCCCTCGGACACTACCGGAACGGAACACATGCCCCACCAGAGGCCTCTCCCCGCAACGCAGTGTGGGGGCGCAGACAGCGGCAGTGTGCCGGGAGGTGGGGGCTTGGGGGCCTCGGCCCGGCCCTGGAGCTGAGTCCTGGGAGAAGAGGCCGATGCCAGTGCGGAATCAGGCCCCCGGGTGCCCGGGAGTCACCTCTGGCAGCCCAGAGGCCTCCAAGCGGAGCAAAGGTCAGTAGGACGGACGAGAGGGTGGGCGGGGGCCGGGAGCGGCGGTGCAGCCGAGGCGCCTCCCTTCTGCCGTGAGGTTTAGCGACAACGAGGTGAGGTAACCCTCGTGGGCCGGGCCCCGCCCCGCGTCCGCAGGTGTGCGTGTGCATCAGCACGCCGTGCGGGCACCGGCCATGACAGGTGAGCGAGGGGAGGCACGGCTTTCCAGAGCGCGCAGACCCCTCCCGCTGGCCCTGCCAAACCCGCTCCGTGCAGAGCGAGCGGCGGGCCGCCCTGCCCCGGGCTGCCGAGCCCCCGTCCGGGCCAACGGTTATGCCGCACAAACACGGAATGCTGCTTGGGGATCTCAAAGAGGCCAGTGTCTTCGTTCGCTTACAACACGCCGGTGAGAAGATGGCCTGGTTAAGAATGCATGAGGCGGGCAAGCCCACTTGTGGCTTTTATGTGGCAGGAGCCACCCAGCGACCAGGAAGACGGGGGCTCCGGGGAGTAACTGGCTTTACTTAATGGGGAGCGGGGCTGGCGGAAAACGTCTTCAATTAGAGCTGAGGGAGCCGCCACGCCAGGAGGAAGCGGCAGAGGATGTGCCCGCACCCTGGGCCAAGTGGGTATGAAGTTATTAATAAAAGAATGCAATATTTATCAGGTTTCTACTACAATACCAAAAAAAGAAAAAAACAGAGCTTGCATTCAGTCTCCTGAGCACTGCTTAATGACACAGTCCCAGTCCCTGAGACGCAGCCTGGGCCGAGGTGAAGGCATCTATCTCCCAGGGGTCGGACGCCCATGGGCGGACCGTGGCGGCCACCAGGCAAGGCCTTCTGTGCTCCCAGCCTGCAAGGGCCCTGCCACCTGGGGGTCAGGCTGCAGGTCAAGCCCCGAGTCTCTGACTGCAGCACTGGTGAGAGTGGGGACTGGCACTTCAAACCCCTGCTGCTAAAGCTGACCAGGGTGCCCCCACGAGAACCCCAGCTCCACAGCCCGCCTCCCCACAAGCCCACCCCACGCAACATTGAAGAGCTCGTTTCTGAATTGAGCACGCCCTCATTTCCAGCTCACACAGACAACACTCCCCTCCTAGGGAAAGCTGGGCTGCATTTGGGGGGACTCGCCAGGTAGGTGCCTGAGGCAGGCTCAGACCAGCTGCAGCAATGCGGCGCCCAGCCCCAAGGGCAGGTCTTCAGACAGGAGGCGCCCAGAGACCAGGCCAGCCACTGGCGACGACCCTCACCCCCTGGGACTCGCTGGGGAGCCGGGTTCTCAGGGGCGGCAACTGAAACGCGATTGTCCTCAGGCCTGGCTGGGACATGGGTCTGGGCCTGAACTGCAACACAAGGGGAGCTTTCACCCGCCCCCCAACTATGTCTCTCGCCTACGAACAGTCCTGGACTATCGCTGTCACTTTGTCCAGCCTCGTCTTGTTCAACCTCTGTAAGAAGAACAATCCCAGCCCACGGTGTTTAACAGAGCCGCGTGGAGTCAGGGTCACTGTCGTGCACGTCACGTCACGGAGCCTACGGAGATGCAGTGAGGACCCGTGGTGACCTGTGACGGCGGTGCCCGAGCGTCTGAGCCCCGGAGGTGACGCTCCAGGCAGGCAGCAGGGCGGTGTGTGCACCAGAGAGCCCACTGCAATGGGGTCTTGAGGTCAAGCTCCTGTGGGTGGGTGCCAGGGGCCTGCCCAGTCAGTGTTCCCCTGATGGAGCACAGCTATGCTCGGTGGGCGCACGAGGGGACACTCGGGCCGGGCAGGGTGCTCAGAAACGATGGTAAAGGGCCCCTGGTGCTGGCGTGCGTGCTTTGGTGGCTGCCAGGGCCATGCCACCGGGGTGGGGGTGGGGGGGGTGCCGGACACGTGACCCTGCCCGGTGGGAGTTTACAATCTGGGCAGAGCTGGAAAAAATAAATAACCAGAGCAGCGCAGGAAGGGGTGACACAGTGGCAGGGGTGGGGTGGCAGGGGGCTGTGTGTGGATGCAGCAGGGCCTGTCTGGATTTTAACAAATGGGGGAGGGCAGGGTTAACCTCAACTTTCTAAGCACAAAGATCAGTGGTGGCTGAGGGAATTCAGACCACCCCTGGGGAACCGTGTTTTTCGGACATCAGACAGTGGAGAGGCGAGCTCTGAGATGACAGAGCCTCGAGGTCCAGGTTGAGGGCCTGCCCGTGAGGGAGGGCTGTGGGGCCTCGGCAGCTTCCCGAGCAGGAGCGTCCTCCAGCAACATCCGGACTGAGGATGGCCGGGGGGCGGGCCCGGCCGGGCGGCTCTCGCAGCAGGATGGGTGAGAAGGCGGCTGTGCGGCGCGCCCGCCTGCCTCAGAGGTTGTCCAGGCAAGGGAGGCACCGACTCGGAGTGGCTTTACTTTGGGGAGAACAGTTCGGGCTGACTATGGCGGCTGCATAAACGGCGTCACTGTACCACCATTTTTCTTAAAAGGCAGCGTCAGACTTCCGCGGAGAACCTCGGACTTGGACACTGGCCGCCCGCCCACGCCACAGGCATTGGCGCGCATGAGGGGGCGCGAGGCGAGGGGAGCGGACGCGGGAGACGGGCGACGGGCGCCGGTACCCAGCGGCCTGGGCCGCCCACGCGCCTGCGACGCCTGCGCCCTCCTGTCACGCCCGGGGACCTCGACTCCGCCCTCACAGGAGGCCTCAGGAGAGGCGGGAACTCGCCAAGTGGCGAGCGCGGGCCGGCCTGGCGCCCCTCCGCGGCCACGCCCACCGGCCCAGAGGAGAGGGGACTTGGCCAAAGCCGCCTCGTGTCCTCTGCGCCCTGTCCCAGCCCCACTGTCCTTCAAAAGGCCTCACTGGTCCTCATCTCTGCCACGTCCGGCATCTGTCTCTGCTTATTTCCTCTTTCCCAGGCTGGCCGTCCTTCCAGACTGTTCCACAGTTCCTCTCCTTCCACTAACTGTCCTGGGAGGACCATGAAGTACAATGGAGGCAAAATCGGTCTGATTCCTTAACTTCTGTGCATTCCCATGCTCAATGAACTCTAAACACTCTAAAATTAATTTCTCCTTAGTTATAAATCTCTTCATAGGTTATTTTCTCCACAGCTCTGTGATCGATCAAGACGACAGTTCCAGTCCCTGCGGGCTCCGCCAACTTTCCTTCCACCCAGCCACTGAGCTCTAAAGTCATCAGCAGACCTTTCTGCACCACGCAGACTATTATTTAGAGTGTGTGATTAGCACCTTTCACCCAGGAACTTCGTTAACATTGTATGTGACACTCCTTTAATAGAAAAACTCGGAAGAG